CCAGTGCATACCATGCACTTCTCTCACCACCTATCAAATATCTGAAAGGTCTTCCCATTCCTCCTCCCGCTTTCTTCCATTGCCTTTAATCCCCCAGCTTTTTCCCTAGCTTCCTTTCCAAAACCGTCAGTTGCTTTGCTCAGGGTTCCTCATTAGATCTCAAAATCTCTAAGCAACTATTTTGCTTTCTACTCAATTTACATTCAACTCCTCTCCCATATTGCTGTTGCCATCACCTTGGACTCATTTCATATTCACAGACATTGTCACGATGATATAACGAAGAATCTAAATACATTAAAAAGGCTTTCTCATGCTGCTTTAGCATGACAATCATTACTACTCATCTTCAGGGCTTCATTTAACTACTCTTCTCTGTTCACCTTCCATTGTTAGACACTTTCTGCTATACTTAATAGATCCTTTACTCAATTTTTTTATAAGGGTTTCTCTTTCTCATCCATCATGTTCATGATTATTAATCAGGATTAGATTTTCTCCAGGGAAAAAACAGAACACTTCCTAATGTACAATCCCCTTGTAGAGGATCATTACAAATTCCCATTGCTATTATTAAAACGTCACAGACTTCTAAGTCTGCCCTGAATCTCAACCACACTGTCTCTGGCACTGTATTTCAGAATCATAGAATAGTTTGGGTTGGAATGGACCTTTAAAGATCATCTAGTCCAATGCCCCTGCGTGGACAGGGACATCTTTCAGTAGATCAGCTTGCTCAAAGCATTCCCTTTACGCCTGTGTTTCTTAACAGAGATAAGAACACATCTCTGTTCTTATGCACACAGAAATACATAAACACATCCCTTCTGCTTCCCTCCCCTGATATTCACATAACTTCCTCTTTCAGAAGGTCAAGCTCAAGCATCATCTTTGACTTTTCCTTCCATCTATCCCCTTACCAGTTCTCTACATTATCATACCCTTTGCCATCTTCTACTTGTTTAATACAATTTCCTGTAACACAGGATGTTGTCCAGTTTTGCTTTAAATGCACTGTTAGCGTTAGAGAGGAAATGAAAATTACTAGGCACTCTCTTACTGGTTCACTCAACATGAATAAACATTTCCATCTGCCACAGAGCAAATCATTTTAATCTCTGACAAAACAAAAAACCCTCTGAAATCAATAAGAGCATTGAGCCAAAATGAAACAAGAGGCTTTCAATAAGAAATGGATACCGTTTCTTGTACATAACAGAGAAAATACTCATCACCATTCAAGTTTTAACTTGGAGTCATGCATGGAGGAAAAAAGTCACAAATAATTAGGGCACACAGCCATACCTACCATTTCCCAGTCTTTGTGTTTGGCAAACTCTCCTCAAATATCCCAGGTAAATGCATTTATTTCAGAACTACCCAAGGCAGTAACAAAGAGGATCCTGAATTCTTTTAGTCAAAGCCAAATTCTAGTGCAAACGCTATGACATCTAGGCCCTCCCTGACTTTAAATACTGGTGAATCTTAAAAACACCTTAACAAAGGGGATATATTCTAGTACACCAAGCAAGCATCTGTCAGAGCCCTTCTGACAACCACAGAGGGGAGGTTATCACTGGCACCAGCACAGTAGACTGACATCTCAAGCCAATGTTTGAGCTGTCATGAAGGATCAGATGACATGTTTTTATTTAAGCACAAATGATTTTGAAATAGAAATAGGAATTTCAGCAAGTTGCACGTTGAACAAATTGATTCTGTACAATCTATTTTTCACTTTTGGTCCAGAGAGGAAGTTTAAGAAATTCACACTACATGGAGAGTCAAAGAAATTGATGGTTTCATACTAGCACTATATCACTGCCAGAAGCTCAGGCTAAACCAATCACTTTTTAACTAAAAATGGGCCTGAGACATGATGTTCTGATCTCAGTCTGAACTTCACAAAGTTCATGGTGGTTATGTTAGGATTTGGCATTTGGCTTGGGATCTTCTCCATTTTTAACAATGAAGAAAAATCTTTTAAAGTAACAGAGGACTCTCCTCTATCAAGTTTAATAGAAATCAATAAATCAGCTTGATCCGATCGCATTTCAACATTGTAAGAGGTCTAAATAGGTGTCTTTTAGCACTGCAGTTATAATAAACCCCTCTAAGTCTCTCTGGGAGTCATTCTAGCATGGATGTGAATTCCAATATGAACAGGATTCGAGGACATCCCTGGACATATTTGCCTGGTAATTATTGGCTAAAGTGCAAACT